CCAAATCCGACCCCTGTGGTCTATAAATATCATCACAGCTCACCATTACCGCATACATTACTTACAACTCATGCATCTACTGACTCGTGCCTCTGCAAACTGTAGTCATTATCGTAACTGTTAGTTATGATTTTTATGACCAACTACGACCAACATGACCCACAACTCATATAGTTCCAAACGCTGACCTCTGCGATCTACCAACGTTATCGCCGCTTACCCCTATGCAACCAAATATGGTCTACGTAGCTCACAGGTTCTGTAGCTTCCCATTATGACTTCTATGGCCAATTGATGCTTTTGAAACAACCATCTTCAACCCACATGACTAACTGCTATCATGACTTTTATCTGCGTTCAATAAAATAAGCTGAAACTACAACCACTATCTACAACATTCACAATGAACTACTGTTTTCATACCAATTGCCTAAAACATTTGCAACCAGTTATCACTAAGATCCATATTCATTGCAGTCAAACTATAACTATTATTGATGAAATATTGTTGTAATTTTATAATGATCATCTTTATAACTCCATCTTTCATAATTCAGAATAAGAGCATATTTGTGTACTCACAACTCATAGTGAATTATTTAACATGGCAAGACCCTTAGGCTTTTTCTAAGATGTTTTACCTAAAAACTGACGTATCTCCTACTGCATGCTTCTCTTTAATTACGTAAGTGTGTGTTGGGTGTTTGTTCAATACTAAAAAGACAATTCATTACTCTACCGCAACAGACCTTCCAACACGCATCATATTTTCTTATTTTTTTCTCTAATATTGATCAATCTCTAATCTTAAACTTATGCTTCTTGGAATTTTTTTCTCTTTTGAAGATCATGCATGGATATGCAAATCTTCACCATGATTACTCTTTTTAGAGACCTTCATATATAAGATCATTGAAGATAGCATTCTAGAATTTATTGACGATAGTGATTTTCTTCTCATCGAAGTTTCTTTAAAAATGCTTAATAAATTTGAACAATGAGTTAATCAATACAATAGCCTAATCCTTATCTTTAATCTTAACATCCAAGTTTTTAAAGTCCATGACTAACTTAACGAACTAAACCAAGTTGTCATTAATGAGTTTGTTGCCTTCCATTGTATAATCGATGAGTTTATCCTTCAAGTATATTCAATTGAAAAGCATCTACAATTTCTCAAATTTCCTCCATAATTCTAAAACAATTTACACCAATCATCTTCTAAACACTTTATCTTCTAAACATAAGATGATCAAATTAAAACACCTTTTTCCTCAATGTTAATCTGTTTTTGATTGTATAGTCTTGCAGGCAATTTAGATTCAGATTATACTAACAGTATTACTTCTATTTTTATCACTATAAAAAAAAATCCTAATTAGTGTCAGACATTTCCGACACTAATCGGTTTGTTTTCCGACGCAAATTTAGATTTGCATCCAAAAAGCTTTTTTTTTTTTCTAATGTTAAAATAGGCTGCGTTAATTTCTTTTGTGTAAACATTAGCGTTGAACTTTAATATGCATCAGATTAGCGTCAAAATTAGTCGTCACTAAAAAATGTCGTCAAATATGCAAGTAAGAGCGTTTAACATGAACGATAATCTTCATAATTTGACATTCGTCCTGCTCCTATCTGATTAGGGTCGGAAATTTTTGTTCAACGCTATTAAATCGTTTTAGCGGCTGCTGGTATCTTTGGCTGATTGCAGGTGTTGGTGTCAGAAATTTCTGACACTTATCTATAAGAAAAAAAAAAAACCAAAACAAAACGATTAAACTTCCACGTACATGCACATAACAAACACAATCATCATAATATAATATTTATCTATCATCACAATTCATAAAAGAAATCTCCAACATACACATAATGATACCAAATCAGATTTTAATATAAACGGATTAAAGTGATTAGAATTCACAACACAAGAAACTGAAAGTTCATACATTACACAAATGAAAAAAACATAAAGTCAACCCTTATGTCAGGGGAACATCAAATACAGAACAAAAAATCTTGATCTTCTTCCTCATCATCATCCTGCTCCTCCTGCTCGACCGGACGCATGTGCCACTTGCGGGCGATCAAAACTCTTCGTCAGACGTACTACGATAACTGTAACGAGATGTTGGCCTCACACACTTATCGAAGCTCTTCATTCATCATCTTCACACGCTTGAGATCATCACACGTTTGACAAGCTCCTCATGCTGAACTTGTAATGAGCTAGGGCCACTCACAACTGCTCGGGAACACTCGGCCTCGAAAGTCATCCCATTTTCTCTGAGGCCCTACACTATCCCCGTTTTCTTCCCCATTGTCTACGCCCACAACTTATAGTCGGACTGCACAGTGGTAGAATAGCTACCACTACTAATGGATGGTGAGGTATGTCTAGCCATCTGAACTTGTGTCTCCCGGACCTACTCGTATGCCTCTTGCATAAAAAAATTCAAATAGTAGTTGGCATTTTAAACATTAATTGACATAATGATAGAATTAATTTTTAACACTTACATTGACACGACGAGAGTGGTCGGATACCCACTGTTGTGTGCCCGTGTGCCGATATGTAAGGACGTGCGACATTGTTGTGGATGGATCTCTGCCAAGCTTGTTGGCCTGTAAACTTGACCAACTAAATATATGAGTCATCTAATTACATAAATTGTAAGCTTTTGAATTTTGACATAATCTTACCCCCCTCTGATAGTGCTCCTTGTGGTGGATCAAACCTCCAATGTGGAGTGCAGGCCCTCTGGCTCCCTCCGTCGTCCGATTTTGCTGATTTATATGTCTCTTCCTCTGGTACTTCGGAGAGGACTATGCTCGGTTTAACTAAGACCAAAATTCCTCCCCAACCCAAGAGGGCCTCTGCCCCTTCTTACGCCCCATCATGAACATATTCCCGAGACTATGTCTGCACAAACCTCAAAATTTTGTTGGAACTGCTGCTTCAAATTCACTGTGTGAAGCCTAATACCAATAATCGAGTTTAAATCCCCTACAATATAGGTCCAACTTCGCTTCATCAGGTGGCAGCTACGCTTGATTCTTATGCTCCACACAGCGGCATCAAAACCTTCTTCTAAGAGGTGAACGGGGAGCTGTGATGTCACTTGTGTGAACTGTTCAACACCAACAATAAACTCACCTGTTATGCATTCATGATCTAACGCTTCGAACATTCATCTGCACCATAAAGATAACTCTAAAGTTTATTGCACCTACACATTACTCATCCTACTTAAAACCTTAGGCCACCTGTATATCATACATGAAACTCATAGTTCACAAATTCAGAGAAAATCAACACTAGTCTAACTCTACCCTAAATTTACATATCACAAATTTCTTTTGGATTTATATATCTCACACTAAAATTTTCATATTTACATACATAGCACAAATTTCTTATGTATTTCCATATATATTTCACACCAAAAATTTCATATTTACATACATAACAGAATTTTCTTATTTACATAGCTTAGACCCAAATTTTCATATTTATATACATAGCACAAATTTCTAATGTGTTTACATATAGCACAAATTTCTAATGTTTTTATTTATCTCACTCCTAACTTTTAATATTTACATATATAGCACAAAATTTCTTCTATGTTTACATACCTCACACCTAAAATTCATATTTACATACATAGCACTAATTTCTTATGCATATATATATCTCACACCTAAATTTCATATTTACACACAACACAAATTTCTTATGGATTTACAAATCTCACACCTAAATTTTCATATTTACGTACATAGCATATCTCACACCTAAATTTTCATATACATATATTGCACTAATTTCTTATGCATTCACATATCTCACACCTAATTTTCATATTTACATGCATACCACAATTTTCTTATGTATTTTCGTATTTCAGATCAAAATTTTTTACACTACAACATATGCATTGCATACCTAACAATGGAAACAAAAAAAAATAGAAAAACCTATGTTTTTTTCGATTTGACACTTATGCAAGGAAAAAAAGAATGAAAACTTACACTAAACAAAAGCTTGAAGACGTGGAAGAAGAATTCTCGCCTTGGACGGGGTTATAGCAGTGAAACGGAGTTAGATTTTCCGAAGAAGTTGAGGAGACGACGAAGGAACGAAGCTGAAGAAAAAAGAGCACGCGAAGTAGAGCTGCGGTTCGCATGAACCATATTTTAGGGCTTTAGCGTCGGAATAGCGTAGAATATGGCCGACTCACTTAATACTATTAAGTGAGTTTAGCGTCTCGTTAACGTCATTTCTTCTAATTTTGGGACTGCGGTGCAGCACTAATGGACGCTAATCAGTCACTAATTTTGCGTCAAAAATAAATCAGATGCTAATTAACAATTTTGATGTAGTGTATCTTCTAAAAATCAAAATCATTTTTATCTACAAATCTCTCTACATAATACTTTATCACTGTGTCTTTACTAATTCTTAAATGATACTCTGACAACAGCCTGTTGAAAACAAAGATAAAAAATACAGTTGAACTTTCACAAAAGATGAATGTTAACCGGCAAAAATAGTGAATAAATTTCTGAATATGAATTAAAACTCAATGCTATAGCATTAAATTAATCTAACCATTTTCAAAAGAATAGCAATCTAATTGACTACATGAGATAAATAAAAGCTAAACAAAAAAGTAAATTCCACCCTGAGAAGCTTATATTATTTTCAATATGTATAATCCTGAATAAGAGTATATAAAATAAGAGCTGATTGATTATTTATAAATTGTACTAATATTACAATAAATTTAAAATTTTAAAACTTATATAGTCAAATTTAGTTCAGGATCCAAATTCTTGTTTTTCTTAAATCACAGATCTTATTTGATGATTCTAAAACGAATTTATACCAAAAGCTGCCATTTTTGCTAAAATCCAAGCAAAGTTGGATCAATTTACTGAATAAAATGGGTCGATTATCCTTCCAAAAAACTAACATGAATTTATTAACATCGCAGAATCTCGTCGGGGGAGCAACAGACAACATTACTACAGCTATAGAATGGTCAATGGCGGAGCTGCTAAACCACCCAATGAAGATGCGAATAGCTCAGCAAGAGCTTGACGCCGTCGTTGGAAAGCATCGCGTCGTTGAAGAGTCAGACATCTCTCAACTCCGCTACTTGTGCGCCGTCACCAAAGAAGCGCTCCGACTCTACCCACCAGTTCCTTTGTTCATACCCCACAGCCCGAGCTCTAACTGTGCCGTTGGCGGCTTCTCCATTCCCACTTGCACCACCGTCTTCGTCAACGCGTGGGCCATTCATAGGGATCCCTGTTTTTGGGGGAAGGATGCAGGGGAGTTCAAGCCGGAGAGGTGGTTGGAAGCTGCCAAGGAAAAGAGTAGTTTTTCTTTTGGAGGGAATGAGTTTTGCTACATGCCATTTGGGGCGGGGAGAAGAATGTGTGTAGGAGTTGCAATGGGAGAGAAGATGGTTGTTTACATTTTGGCATCTCTATTGCATTCGTTCGACTGGCAGTTGCCGGAGGGGAAGTCGCTAGATCTTCAGGAGAGGTTTGGGACGGTTTTAAGGAAGACGGAGCAGCTCTTTGCGGTGCCGGCGGTGAGGTTGGACAAGACGGAGCTTTATGTTTAGATGATGATCGTCTGTAGTAATAATAGGCTTTACCTCTTAAAAGTTCAGTATCATTTTTTGTTAGGGTTGTTTGGGATTACTGTATTTTTTTTTTTTTTTTTTTTTTTTTTTATCTTTTTTTTTTTAATTTGTATTTGAGGGGTTAC